AAAAGTAGATAGAACACACACAATTTGAAAACGGAATTTGAAGCTAAGGGAGTGACATGATCGAGTTGCAAAGGCATCTAATTGACTGGCCTGGAATGATGGCATCACGCTAGCTAGCTAATTTAATGGTGGCCATTGCTTCCATCCCCGGCCCGCCCAGTTAACTTCCTCACACGACTACTTCAATTCCCTTAGCTTCCAATAACACTGCTCTTAATTAGCTTAGCTTGCATGTCCATCTCAAATATATTATATTTTTAGGTTAATAAACCTTAATGTCTTGCTTCTCCAAGCTAAGTAGTGTCAACAACCTTAATTAGCTTCATTTTGGTTCCCTCCATTTGTTTCGAGTGTAACTAAATTATCAATGCTACTGAAAAAAATAGCAAAAACTTGTGTAAGACCGTCTCACAGGTCTCAATTCATGAGACGGGTCGGATCTTTGATTAATAAGGACACAGATTTGACTCATTAACCAAATATCTGACTTATCTCACGGATTGAGACCCATGAGACGATCTCACACAAATTTTACCCTGAATAATAATGTGTTTGTAAGTTTTAAAAGGAACCAAATAGGTAGAGGATCGGAATTACAATTACAATTACAATAATATATATAGCCGAATTGAACTAATCATATTCCTTGACCAGGACTATGTGGTCCAATGGTATCCGGGTTGGACTTCCATTTGGAAGGTTGTGAGTTCACTACTGGAAATTCTGAAATTTCCGACCACCTGAAAGTGATCTTAAATTAAGTTGAAAGCCTTGTTTCCGACCACTTTTGGTATCCGGAAAAACCTTTGATGCTATTTCCGACCACTTTTTGCTTTCAATTTGATTTAAGATCACTTTCAGATGGTCACAAATTCCATAATTTCCAGTAGTGGTTCGAGCCTCAGTGTTGGCGTTATTAGCTCTTTGTGTTTCAGTAGGTTGAGAAAGTATATGAACAGATACTACAATGTAATAGAGCTAGTAGCATTCAAAAAAAAAACTAATCATATTCCTTCAGAAAAAATTTGTGATCGAACCAAACACGCCAATATAAGTGTTGTTATATATATATATATATATATATATATATATATATATATATATATATATATATATATAGGGATGCACTCAGCACGCCAATATAAGTGTTGTTATATATATATATAGGGATGCACTCAGGTGCGAATATGTGCTCAGGAGGGAAATGCGAACGAATCAGCGCGCGACACGTGTCCAGATCTAATAACTTAAAAAAATATAAGTGTTGTTATATATATATATATATATATATATATATATATATATATATAGGGATGCACTCAGGTGCGAATATGTGCTCAGGAGGGAAATGCGAACGAATCAGCGCGCGACACGTGTCCAGATCTAATAACTTAAAAAAATGCAGTGGCATTTTCGTAAATAATTGAACATCGAAGTGCAAGTAAAATCGCTTACAAGTGCACCTACTTTCACCTATAAGTGCATGTAATTTTGCCTTGTTAGCATTCACTTTCCGCAAACATTCATGCACCTGGGTGTGCTTATAACTATATGTGCAACTATTTATAACTAGAGGTGCAACTACTTATAACTATAGGTGCACCTACTTTCACCTATAAGTGCATGTAATTTTGTCTTGTTAGCATTCACTTTCCGCAAACATTCATGCACCTGGGTGTGCTTATAACTATATGTGCAACTATTTATAACTATAGGTGCAACGACTTATAACTATAGGTGCACCTACTTTCACCTATAAGTGCATGTAATTTTGCCTTGTTAACATTCATTAATCTGAGTTCAGCGGGTAGTAATACCCCTGAAAACCACTCGCAAACATTCATACACCTAGGTGCAACTACTTATAACTATGTGTTCAACTACTTAGAACTATAGGTGCACCTACTTAGAACTATAGGTGCAACTAAGTATTGATGCTCAGTGTAAATTTTTACTTGCACCTATAATACATTTTACATGCACTTGTAATACATTTTACTTGCACTTCGATGTTCAATTATTTACGAAAATGCTACCGCGTTTTTTTAAAAAATCAGTGTTTCTCATCCACGGTTGTAAAAATCCCGCCTAGGCTCCGAGTAATCGGCGCTTAGGCGCCCGCCTAGCGCCTAATTCAGCCGCCTAGCGCCTAACTCGTCCGATTACGCCGAGTTAACTCGTCAATTTCTGTCGAGTTAGTCGAGTTAACCTGACCGACTCGACCTTGCTAATTTTTTTCATTTATATATATATATATATATATATATATATATATATATATATATATATATATATATATATATATATATATATATATATATATATACACTCGTAGACTAGTTTGATACTTTCAATCTTTGGATGATTGAAGTATTTGGGTATTTCATTTGAGTTTTTTTTTTTTTTAATATTCTTTTGATGTTATGACTTATGAATTGTCATTATGCCATTTATTTGGATGTGTTATTTGATTGAATGTTGAAAACAGCCTCATTAAAATTGTCAAATTGCAAGTCTGCTACTGTTTTTTTTGGCGACCACCTAGCGCCGCCTAGATTCCACCTAGGCGCCGACTAGGCCGCTTAGGCGCTATGCGCTGCCCGGGCGCCCGACTAGCGCCCAGCGCCTACTGCAACCATGTTCTCATCCATTAGATCTGGACACGTGGACGAACAGAATTCATTCCTATTTCGCGCCTGGGCGAAGCATTCGCACCTGAGTGCGATTCTATACATATATATATATATATATATATATATATATATATATATATATATATATATATATATATATATATATATATATATATATATATATATATACTCTCTTCGTCCCATTTTATGTGTCTAGTTCGGTTAACGAGTCTTGACTGAAGTTATTTTTCATGATATTAAATTTAGTATTAGTATAAAAAATTTATATATTTAGAAACTACACTAAAAGTACTATTAAACACACAAAAACAAAACAAAAAACAAAAAACAAAAAATCAAATTTAAAAATAAATAAATAATACTAAACAAAATAAATAAAGAAGAAAGAATTTGTTTGACCATTGAATAGTAAGTAGGACAAATAAAATTAAACAGAGGAAGTATATATACATACATATACATATATATATATATATATATATATATATATATATATATATATATATACATATATATATTTATATTTATATATATGCAATGCATGTTATCTTAGCTAGCTTTGTTTGGTTTCAGGCATGTCACACTATTTCTTATGTCCATTCGATCAACCACTAACTTCATTTCATACACCTTCCAATCCTTACCACTTTAGCCCTCACATATATAATTACATTTTGTAAGACCTACAATTGTGTATGTAATGAAATATAATTATCCCTCCATCCCATTTTATGTATCTGGTTCGATTAACGAGACTTGACTGAAGTTAATTTTAATTCAATTTTTCATAATATTAAATTTAATATTAGTATACAAAATTTATATATTTTGAAATTATACTAAAAGTACTACGGAGTATTAAACACAAAAAAAAAAAAAAAAAAAAAAAAATCAAATTTAAAAACAAGTAAAAAATACTAAAAAAAAATAAATAAAGAAGAAAGAATTGGTTTTACCAATAAATAGTAGGTAGGTCAGATAAAATAGGACAGAAGGAGTATTTTTTTATATATTTTATATCAATTTTTATAATTGGTATATATGGTGTTACGTTATGTGTGCATACATACTCAAATTAATCACAAATTCAAACTTTTTAGACACGGTATTCAAACATGCATTGTTCAGTTTGAGTGATTATATATACTCAAACTAATAACTTATGATGTTCTCTCAAACTTTTAAAATCGGTTCAAACTTAAGTTTTAATTATATAATATGAATAATGTTAACCCTAAATATAAGAAAATATGTTATATTAGGATAAATATATCATAAATAGAAAAAATAGAAGATGGCCTTGGAATAAACTCAATAAAGTAAGAAAATATAGCAACAAATTTATTCATACCGGTAAGTAGATAAATAAGTAGATAAAGATAAGGGTGAGATAAGGTAGATAAATATGTAGCTTAGGCAAGCGATAGGGGTGGCCGTGTTGGTGATTTGGTGGTATGTTTAGATAAAAATATCATATAGAAATTTGTAGATAATAATAATGATGACTATGGATGAGATTATGTGTATGTTTTATTTAGGAAATAAGAAAAAAAAAATGTTTTTCAAAAGTTTTATGAAGTTTATTTGAAAAAGTATTATCAAATAGATAACAATCTATTTGGAATAATTTTTCAGTTTTTTAAAATTGAAACGGTGTAAGTAAATATTTTTCATTACTTAATTTTCTAATTTTTTTCAAAAAAAAAAAAATAGAATCCTTAAATTATTCCGTGTCTCATTTTATGTGTGTAGTTCAATTAAAAAAAAAAAAAAAAAAAAAAAAAAAAAAAAAACTTGACGATCCCAAAATTATTTATAATTCAATTTTTTATACCATTTAATTTAGTATTAAGGTATAAAAGTATAAAACATCAAAAGTACTAATACAAAATACAAAAATTAAATTTAACAATTATGAAAAAAATGTTTTTTAAAAATAACCAAAGAAAGAAGGATTAAGTTTGTAATAAATATAGTGGGTGCCAACTATTATATACGTAGTGTAGTGTGATGGCACATTTGTTACTTTTCCAAATAGGTGGTCACAATACTTTTTCAATAAATATTTTTAAATTTTTTTTTTTAACTGTTTAATAGTATGTACTTTAATTTTTTTGGTAAAATTTAAATATATAAAAAAAAAATTTAATATGAGTCAAACCTGGGTAATTGAACGGACATGAAGAGTGCTAAAATAGTAAAAAGTAAATGATATTCTATAATAGAAAAGAAAAGAAAGATGAGAGAGAGAGAGAAGAATAGTAGTGTTAAATGGGAAAAGTGGGTTGGTTTTGGCCTATAAATGGGAAGAACCTGGCTCCTTCAATTCCACCCCACAAAAACAACTGAAAACCCTTTCTTCTTTCTTCTTTCTTCTTTCTTCTTCCTTCAAAGTTGAAACCGGCCATGGGGATAAACTGTAATAACAGGGTGGAAGATTTTTGCGATCAGCATGCAAATGCAAATGGAAATGGAAATGGTGCATGCAACGACGCCGTCTTAAGCATCCCCAACGAGGAGGCGGCGCAACCGCTGGAAATGCACAAAGTTTGCATGCCGCCGCAGAGAAGCACCGTCCAGAAACTGCGGCAGAGACTGGGAGAGATCTTCTTCCCGGACGATCCTGTCCACAGGTTGAAGAACCAAACGTGGGTTAAGAAGTTGGTTGTGTGTGTGCAGTTTTTTTTCCCGGTTCTTGAGTGGGGCCCAAATTACAGTCTCGCCCTTCTCCGGGCCGACGTCGTCTCCGGTCTCACCATCGCTAGCCTCGCTATCCCTCAGGGCATCAGCTACGCTAAACTCGCAAATTTGCCGCCTATTATCGGACTCTGTAAGTACAAACTGTCATTTATTTATTTTTTTTGCATTAATATTAATATAATATAATATATATGCCGGGCGCAGATTCCAGTTTTGTCCCGGCGTTGATATATTCAGTTCTTGGGAGTTCCCGGCATCTGGCCGTAGGGCCGGTGTCCATAGCTTCTCTGGTGATGGGCACAATGCTTAGCGAGGCGGCTCTTCCTTATACTCAACACCCCACCCTTTACCTTCAATTGGCTTTCACTGCCACATTTGTCGCCGGAATTTTTCAAGCTTCTTTGGGTTTCTTCAGGTATTTATTTATTTATTTTGGGATAAAATCTATATATACTCTCCTCCTCCATCTCTTTATTATATCTCTAACAAGGGACTGATGAGATTATTATATCTCTAACAAGGGACTTGGTAACTATAAAGTTTTAGTAGTACGGCTAGAGTCAACAAGCTGTTGATAGGATAGTGAATATATACTTTGACTCAATTGCAGCATTGCATGCACCATAAATTAAAATTCCTTTTATATTTTATATTTTTATAAAGGTAGGTAGTGGTATAGAAAGGTGATGACTGATTTTAAAAATAAAATGGAATGCAGGTTAGGATTCATAATAGATTTTTTATCAAAGGCAACTCTGGTTGGGTTCATGGGTGGAGCAGCAGTTATTGTTTCTTTGCAACAACTGAAAGGGTTACTTGGGATTGTCCACTTCACTAACAACATGCAAATTCTTCCTGTTTTGTCCTCTGTTTTCCATCACACACATGAGGTAAGGTAACATACATGAGTAGATTGAATTGCCTGCCTACCAAACCTTAATTTCTATGTACTAATAATATAATTAATTAATGTTTGTTTTCAGTGGTCTTGGCAAACTATTGTGATGGGTGTGTGTTTTCTCACCTTCCTGTTGATAGCAAGGCACATTGTGAGTCCATCTCATCTACAAAACAGCATGCTATATATATATAAGTAATAAATTAAAACGACCTAACTTTAATTTAATTCTTTAATAATGAAGCTAAGGTTGTTTGTTAATATAATGGTGCAGAGCATGAGGAAACCGAAATTGTTTTGGATTTCAGCAGCTGCGCCGCTACTATCAGTTATGGTGTCGACTGCCATAGTTGCAATTCTCAATTCAAAGGCGCACGGGATTCAGACTGTAAGCAAGCAAGCAATATATATATATATATATATATATAATGCGGGATGGATATGATAGAAGATATGATGTGATACAAATTAAAGGTTGTTTAATTTGTGCGTGCAGATTGGGCACCTGGCAAAGGGTTTGAATCCACCTTCTGCCAATATGCTCTACTTCCATGGCGCTTATTTGCCGCTTGCCATCAAGACTGGCATTGTAACTGGAATCTTATCTCTCACTGAAGGAATTGCAGTTGGCAGGACATTTGCCGCTTTGAACAACTACCAAGTTGATGGCAACAAAGAAATGATGGCTATTGGTCTCATGAACATCGCTGGTTCATGTTCTTCCTGCTATGTTACAACAGGTCGGTTGCTTGCTCAAATTAAACTTAACCAACCACAGTGATCAGATTCAGAACTTACCACCAATTTCAATTTAATGTTGCAGGATCATTTTCGCGCTCTGCTGTCAACTACAATGCCGGAGCACAGACAGTGGTTTCCAACATAATAATGGCAACAACTGTGCTCATCACCCTCTTGTTTCTCATGCCGCTCTTCTATTACACACCCAACCTCATCCTAGCAGCGATTATCATCTCTGCCGTGATTGGGCTAATTGATTATCAGGCTGCTTTTCGGCTTTGGAAAGTAGACAAACTTGATTTCCTGGCTTGCATGTGCTCCTTTTTTGGTGTTCTTTTCATCTCAGTGCCTCTTGGGCTAGCCATTGCAGTAAACTTCTCCTCTTCTATACTCTATACTCTCAAATCTCAATCCAACACACAATAATAATATTTTTATTTAGGTTGGAGTTTCAGTGTTCAAGATTCTGTTGAATGTTACAAGACCAAACACTTGTGTTCTGGGAAACATTCCTGGAACTCAAGTATATCAAAGCCTAAACAGATACAGAACAGCAATTAGGATTCCCTCTTTCATTGTACTCTCAGTGGAGGCTCCTATATATTTTGCAAATTCCACCTACTTACAAGAAAGGTAAGTTTGGGTTTAAATAATAATAATATAATAAAATGATTTGTGAGTGTACAAGTAAGTATAATGATGATAATCAAATGACTGCAGACTACTGAGATGGATCCGGGAAGAGGAAGAGAGGGCCATGGACAATAATGAAAGCACGATCAAATGCGTAGTCATAGACATGTCAGCTGTGACAGCCATAGACACAAGTGGTATAGATACAGTCCGTGAACTGAGAAAAGCGTTGGAGAGGAGGTCGCTTAAGCTTGTATTGGTAAACCCTTTGGGGAGTGTTATGGAAAAGTTGCAGAGCTCCAACGTTCTGGAAGAGCTTGGCTGTAGCGGATTATATTTGACAGTTGCAGAGGCTGTGGCCGACATCTCTAACTCTAATGGGAAGCCTTAAAACAATGGATCATCGGAGGAATTTTAGTTGGAAAAGAGTTTTAAATCCTTCCTAAGCTCTTCTAAGAAGAGAAGCGGTTTTGATGTTTACAAGAACTAGACAAGTTGTAACTGTTGACAATGAAAGTAATATGTAATTCTGAGCAAAGGGCAATTGCCAATTTGAGTTTACAACACATAACTCCAACTTGCAGCAAGGCATCAAAAAAATCGTTAAGTACTTGAAATCTATCCACCCTTTCCCAACATTCTCTAACTGTATTCATCAAATGTCTAAGTTCTACTTCGTCACGCACTTTCTTTTTCCTTGTCTTTAACCAAGTGTGTGTGTTATGCTTTGACACAGCCTTCCAGTGTGGAAAACATATCATGTACAAAAGCTGCAAAACATTTCACAAGCTTCATGCAGGATCATCTCCATTGGAAACAAAAGCTGCCAGCACAAACTAAACACGTAATTTGTTCATTGCCTGTGAGTCAACACCTATGGAATCAAACATCTGCATGGATTCAAAAAGTTAGACATCAGAGCTAGGAAAATAATAGTACATTTCACCAACTCATGGTTACACAGCATTCACATTCCAACCAACCTTCTACAGAAATGCACAAGCTTTAAAGACAAGCCACTCCAGTGATGGTGAATACTTAGTTAAGTTGTCAAATTTAATTTAAATATTTGGTCAATGGTAAGTTGTTACTATAAACACAAGAAAATAACAAATCAAATAATGAGTTTTGCCTTTGAATGGTTACAAAGTAAGATGACAGAACACATTCAAATCGTCATTGAGCAAGGCATACCACACTATTGAGTGTACCAGATAATATATTGCCTCAAATGAGCTTACTATTAGCTATTAATATCTCTATAGATATTTTACTTGATAAATTCCCAAGATAAAAGCTTTAAATGTGAAACTTGACATAGATTCCACCTAGTTTCTATCCCTCTGGTTAAAGTTCATCATTCTCCAAAGAGGGGGAAATTTTTTTACTTCATATAGTACTCTGTATTTATCTCATAGTTAAAGACAAAGTATGACTGCAGATTGAAATATTCTCAACACTAAAGCACTACCATTCAAACTCCTGCCAAATCAGTAAGAACAAAAGCATTACCCAAGTACATATTTCTGAAGGGAAATTAGATAGATATGCTGGTGGTTTCAAAAAAAAAAAAGATAGATATGCTGGTAATATTGCAACATTTTTCTTTTGAGGCAGGGTTGGGAGGTCATCTTGTTTATATCAATTGAAGTGAAAACATAAAATAATCTCACAAAATATATAGTTATATGCATGAGTACAAAAAGGGCCCTTACTTGGACGGTATCTTGCTATTGGAATTTCTCGCAATTCACGCTTTATGCACAGGTATTCACCTAACAAGGCCATTATTGCAAACCCAGTAACATTCACAACCCACCATGCTAATGAGGAAGGCCAACCTCCATACACAATGCATATAAAAAGATGAAGGATGTATAAGGTGGCAGAAAAATCCAAGCACTTCTTTGCTCTCTCAATCAGATAGACTAAGAAGCCAGCCCTGCTTTGGGGAAGAGGAAAGGAATGAATTATGAAGGTTAAGACATTAGTTTTAAAAACATAATCATTTAACTTACTCAAGTTTAAAATTCAGTATGAACTATAATACCTTAAAAGTTTGTAAAATCAAACAAGTATAAGATGCATCATGCATGATTAAAAGAAAAGAGAATTTAGCCAGTTATCAAACAACTAAGTTGGCTTCCTAGTAACTTTTAGCAACTTCCAACTCAAACACTTGCACTGAGAAACCCAGAAATAAAAGGAGAGAGAGAGAGAGAGAGGGATAAAGGAGGGATAAATAAGAAATCAAATCAAGAGAGCTCAGATAAATGTGTGAGACTCAAACAGATAAAACTCACAACCCACAACTTCTCATTGCCATCTCATCTAATCCAAAGCATCTGAGAAATATTCAAATGAAGAAAGGGAAATCTAAAGGCCTAATTCCTCACAGACAAGAATTATTAGTTCTCAACTTCACATTACAACCACATATAACAGGAGTACACTAATAGCCTCCCCTAGCCTCTCATGGACACATTTTTCTCTCTAGTTTGAATGCTAATAAGCAAAGCTAAGGAAGAACTTATCAAATAAGGAGAAAAATGTTAAAGCAAAGGGAAATGATAGAGTGATCAAGTCATAGATCCAATCAAATAAAGCATCAAAACTAAAATGTGCCTTTTCCACATAAAACCATACTCAATTGTACAGAATTCTCTAAAAGCATCATATTTTGAGTGATTATTTCCAGTTTACTAATATCATGACTAGCTCAACTTATATGTGAACCTAGAGGAGAAGCTCTAGAACATCAAAAATAAGTCACAGTACATTAAATCTATAACTGCAGCCGCCATTATATCAATCAAAAAACTTAAACTAAGCACACAACACGACTCTTCAAATGGTCGAACACTAGATAAAGTCGAAAGCTTACCCCACAATTGAGCTTAGAATAAACGAAGCAATGACACACCACCCGGTGACAGTGGCGGCAGTAATACTGGCGTAATCAAAGAAATAAACAAGGCTCATTCGGGAGACTCGAGTTCCGACTAGAACGCCCATGAATATCCCCAGAATCAAGTAGTAGAGGCACTGAAGGCACACGATTTGTGCAACAATGAGCCAAGGATCCCACACCACCGATCCATAGAACATCTCTACTCAACAACTCAAAAAATTATCCCCTAAATATTAGGAAACCTAGTTCTACACAAAATTGAATCGAAATTGGAAATTGAGATCACATGAAACGGAAACCCTAACAGAGAATTGAAGAAGCTAATGGAAATGTGAATTTTAGAAGCCTTCCACAAATAGATTGCGCAGTTAGTGAGATTTAACCGACGAAGGAGGAATATTCACACAGAACAATCAAAAAGAAATACAAAGATGTGAAGATGACAGCTAATGGCAACCGATGGATCGCATTGATGACCTCCGGTTTCACATCACCGCAGAAACTCTTTTTTCTCTTCTTCTTATTTTCATTTTTTACTCTCTACTTAAAATAATAATTCAAATATACATAATTGTGTCAAACCATTAATAAATTATTAAATTTACTCCGTACTAAAAGCTTTTACAAGGGCTTTTTATTGCAATGAAAATGAGTTTTACTACATGTAAATTTTATTTCTATTTTTTCACTTTTATTCTTTAATGTGATAATTGATGATTAATTATTTTCATTCTATGAGTCTCAAGAAAATTGTCTGCATCAAATCCTTGTGTGATAGAATAAAAGTTAAAAGTAGAAATGTTATTTTTCCAATAGAAAATTAGAATGAAAAGAAATTGCAATTTTCATGTGAAATGAATAGTATAGGGATAAAATGAAAATTTCAATTCAAGTGTGTGTGTTTATATATATATATATATATATATATATATATATATATATATATATATATATATAGGGGATGGTTTACGTGTGAAGGAACTCCCAGGTGAAAAATGTGATGAGATCTGAGTCATTGATATAATCTAAATCAACGGCTCATAATGAAGGACAATTTTAGAATTTAAAAAAAAAAAAAAAAAAAAAAAAAAAAAAAAAAAAAAAAAAAAAACGTGTTTCCTGGCAACTAGCTGCGAATGATCTCCACCCACCATTGTTGAACTGATGCACCTTAAGGTACGAACTTATGCATTTTAAGTTTCAAACTTATACACCTTAAGTTTAGAATTGATGCACCTTAAGTGTCGAACTTATGCACCTTACATTTCAAATTGTTGCACCTTAAGTTTCGAATTGATGTTCCTTAAGTTTCGAATTGATGTTCCTTAAGGTTCAAACTGATGCACCTTAAGTCTTGAACTTATGCACCTCATGTTTCGAACTTATACGTCTTACGTTTTGAACTTATTCACCTTAAGGTTCGAACTGATGCATCCTAAGTTTCAAACTGATACACCTTACGTTTCGAACTAATACACCTTAAGTGTCAAACTTATGCACCTTAAGTTTCGAATTGATGCACTTTAAGTGTCGAATTTATGCACCTTACGTTTCTTCAAACTGATGCACCTTAAGTGTCGAACTGATGCACCTTAAGTTTTGAACTGATGCACTTAAGTGTCGAACTTATGCACGTTAACTTCTAAGTTATTTATTATTAGGGATGGAAATAAGCCGAGTCGAGCTGTGCTTTAGAATATTATGTCTAGGCCTGTTACGAAAATCTAAGGTTTGGGCTTGGGGCTGAGCCTGTATGTAGGCTTTTTGTGGCTCAAGCCTGAGCGGCCTTGCCTGAAATCTTTTTAAAAGTTTGTTTAATATGTAGGCCATTAAAAATGTTTCAAAGTAAGTTCCGCTTTGAGTTTATTTAAAACCTACATGTTAAGTCTTTTTTAAAAACTTGGGAAAATGACACTTTTTTCCCCTAAGTTATATACTTATAGCATTTTTTCCCCCTCAATTATTTATGTAAGCACAATAGCCCCCTCAATTATTTTAAAAGTAGTGGGTTTTCCCCCTGATATATTAAATTGACATTTCTACCCTTAAAGTAAACATTTTATTTATTTTACTTCTCCAACAAATTATTGTGTATATGTAGCGATGACCACGGTTTGGTTCGAACTGAACCGGACACTATAGTAATCGAATTAAAAGTTTTCGGTTATGATTCAGATCTAAAACCCAATATTTAGATTTCTATTTATTAAATTTATGAATAAAAAAAACTGGACCCTGAACCGTGAACCGGTGGTTCCGGATCCGGTTCACGATTTTGAACCGTCTTTATTTTAAAATTTTATTTTTTATTTTAAAATATTCTAAATTCAACAAAAAATGTATTTTATTTTTTCAGTTCGGAACATGAGCCGGTCATTCCGGCTCGCGATTTTAATAAACTCTAAGTATCGCGTTTGATTCTAAATTGTAATTGGAATATTTTGGTTTGGTTGCTATAGTATCTCTTTAGTTTGAACCAAATTATAGTAATAATTTGTTAGAGAAGAAAAATAAATGAAATATTTATTTTAAAGGTAAATATGTCCATTTAATATTTCAGGGGAAAAAAAAGCCACTTAAATAATTCAGGGGGAAAAAGTGCTATAAGTATATAACTTAGGGGGAAAAAGTGTCATTTTCCCTAAAAACTTTAATAAGTATTTCTAAATAATTTAAGAAATATATACATATTAAAAAAAATTAATATATCACCACAATGCAAACATAATAACATTAAAACATAAAATAAAATAAAACAAGTCACGACTTCAACATGCTTGTTAACTTGTATATGAATAAATTCAATTGTATTATTTATTCTCATCCTATATAATCTCATAACTAGTTAACAATCAACTCACATAGTTAAAAGTCGTGGAACTTCATTAAATATTATAACAGTAAGAACAAGTAATAAACAATTAAAAATATGAACATTTATAGTAGGATTAACAACAATGTTTATAGTTGAATCAGAATTTAGAATGAGATTTTGGAGGTGGACGATTAGTTAGGGTTTAGTAATTATATATAATTCTGGTTATATTGTAAATATAAAAATATATAGGTATAAAAATATGGGAATAGTGTTTAACACAGCATCCACTATATTCGAGTTACAAAAGATATTGACATTTACACGATAAACCAATATATGATTTTATTGGGCTACTTGGATACTAGTTATTTTGTTTGATCCCATGATGCCAAGTCTCAAATTGGTTATGTTATGTCTTACATTCTTACCCCCAATGTCCTATATGAGGACGATAAAGCTTGTGTTGCACAAATGAGGAATTGTTAGGAACACTTGTAATTTAGATTTTGATGATACCAAAAGTTAAGAATTTTAGTCTCCAAATTTATTTTATTCTAGCTTAGGAACTCTACTCTCAAATTTGAATGGTCCGAATGTTAAATCGAATGGTTACGTTTCAGATAGCCAGAAACTAGCTTCGAAGGATGGAAGATCATAAGAGATGGAGACGAAGAGACGAAGAGTCGAAGAGTATAAGACTTCAAGACCGAAATATTGCAAAGGTCGAGTGGTGGAAGGGCATACCTTTCGAGTAGAAGGGGATTTGAGAAGAAGCTCGAATAGTAAGGACAACTATTCGAAACCAGAAAGTTGCGTATATTAAAGATTCAAAATGTTAACTCGAATAGTGATGATTAACCATTCGAAAAGGATTGCTCGAGACGTTCTCTAAGCTAAAAGTTCGAAACCTTAAAACACTAATGCTTTTATGAGTAAATGTGACCAAGGCAAAGTGAGTCCTAGGTTCACATCCCAAGAACGATTTTCCTTAAAAAGCCTAGACATTTATGCAGAGCAAAAAGATATGTTCACCGCAAAAAGGATGGTCTAACGGCTGGAAAGTCTGGCACGCAATAGTACCCTCTGAATTACACGTTGGTCAATAGTCGTTCGAAATGGGTTTCCCTCAAATGGACACATTTCTAAATGCCTATTAGTACCTTCATTCAAAGACCTAGAAAGTGTTGGTCAATTCAAGGAAAAAATTTACAAGCATTCAAACGTTCTAAGAAATTATTCAAGCGTGATCAATGAGAGAGACAAAAGCTCAAAAGATATATCTAGTTTTTAGAGACTTACGCTGATCAAAAGGAGTTCAAGATTCAGATCCAAGAAACCAAGGTCTCATAGTTGAAGATTAAGAATCTTTATCTTCAAACACTTGTATCTCTACTCGGTAGAAGTAGAAAGAGGCGGAGTAAACTTTCGGAGTAGAAAAACCTAGATACTCAAGTCTAGCTTTGTGTTCAAGGATTGAGTGATCTTCTTTTTACTAAAGGATCGTGCAAATCTCCTTATGAGTAGTAGTGCTGTCAATACGAGCTAGTGGGCGGGGCGGGCCGAGGGCCTAAACGGGGCAGGCAAAAAAAGCCTGCTCCGTGACAGGCGTGGATTTTGCTGGCCCGAACCGCCCCGTCTTCAGCCCGCGGGCTAGGCGAGCCCCCGCCCCAAAACCTTTTTTTTTTTTTTTTTAATGTTAACTTATTGGCTATTTGGCTATTGCTTTGCTAAATTTATCATAAATCGATAAATACATAAAACATAATTTATTAAACATTAGACATTACATAATTGATAATACATAACAATAAGTATAAAGTTCAAAGTACATAGTTCATCAAACATTAAACCAGTCACAACTCCAAAGTCCATAGTTCATCAAACATTAAATATGTTTCCAATTTTCATTTTTCTACTTCTCCAATTCTTTTTTTTTTTTCTTCAAAAAATTCTCTATTTTTTCAAGTTGGTAAACGACCTCTTGAGATTTTTAAATTTTGATAGACAATCTGTTAACCAACTCAACTAACAAAATTCTATTAGGCTACCCCAACTCCTTAAATGGGAACACTTGTAACTCTATATGGCAAAGGTTTGTAATTTTTTAAAATTATTTTTGTTATGCCACTTGTATTGCAAGCTTGCAAACGTGTACATCTTTTGTCATTGTTTTGTGTTTTTATTTATTTATTTATTATTAAAAATGAATTGAAATTATAGGGATGTAAAATTATGAATTGAATGTCAGTTAAAATTGTAGGGAAGTAGAGAAACTAGCGAGGAATCGCAAATATGAAGTTATGGAAGTAGGATCTATATTTGAAAGTGAGAGAGCATTACAAAGATAAAGATATCTTTAATTAATCATTTTAATTGAAATATTTTTACTTTTAGTTAACAATTTTAACATTTAATTTTTTGTATTATCGATTAATTTTGTTAGAAAGTGTCTGAAATACTTTTGTGTGTGTGTATGTATATGTATATATGTATATATATATATATATATATATATATATATATATATATATATATATATATATATATATATATATATATATACTAGTTTTTTTTACGCGTTTGCGCCAATGGGATAATGTCCAATAATTATTTTTAAATAAATATTTTAAAGTATACCAATGCAATATTAGATAGGAGATGTTCATGCATAGGTAAATAAGT